GCAGCCGCACGCGCCGCCCCCGGCGCCCCCGGCCGCGCCGCGCCCCCCGCGCCTCCCCGGCGCGCCCGCGGCCTTCCTGCGCTACATGCGGCAGCCAATCAAGCGGGAGCTCCTCTGCCAGTGGCTGCAGCCCGAGCCGCCGGCCGCGCCGCCGCCCGCCGCCCGGCCCTGCTCCAAGACCTTCGGCACCATGCACGAGCTGGTGACCCACGTCACGGTGGAGCACGTGGGCGGCCCGGAGCAGAGCAGCCACGTCTGCTTCTGGGAGGACTGTCCGCGCGAGGGCAAGCCCTTCAAGGCCAAGTACAAGCTCATCAACCACATCCGCGTGCACACGGGCGAGAAGCCCTTCCCCTGCCCGTTCCCGGGCTGCGGCAAGGTGTTCGCGCGCTCCGAGAACCTCAAGATCCACAAGCGCACTCATACAGGTGGGTGTCGGCCCGCGCGGCGCCCGCACATGTGGCGCCCCCCCCCCCCCCCCCCCGCGAACAAGTGAGCCGAGGGCGCGCGCAGGCAAGGGGCTGGGGGGACGCCCGGTGCCACCCCGCCTCGGGACGCGGGCCTCGTGGGAGCGGCGCGCGGGACCCCAGGCGGTGGGAGGCTCGGGGCCTCGCGCCGTTCACACCAGCGCCGCCGCTCGCTCCCGTCCACCTTCGCGGGCGCGCGGGTCACGCTAGTTCACACAGCCCTGACCTGGTGCGCTCCTGGGACCCCGCGACCTCCCGGGCACGGCGGCCTCAACCCTTGATTTACATACCCTCCAGCACCGACTCCAGCCCCGAGGGCGCCTACCGCCGAGTGCCGGGCCCTGGAGAAGCCGGCCTCTGCCCTTCAGGGGAAGGTTCTAGACCAGTGAGGATGCCCTCCCCGAGTCGGTAAGGCCTGCCCGTCTGGGACTGGGAGAGAACTAACGCCGGGAGGATCCTCCTCCCACTGGACCACACGCGCACGCACGCATCACCCTCCGTGGCCCTGCCGAGGGGGCGCTGAGACCTGGAGGTGCAGGTCGAGCCCCGGCGGTGCTTTGGCCCTGGAGAATCAAAACCGCGCCGGGCTAAAGCGCCGTGGAGCGCGACTACGCCTACATTTATACGAGACACGATATTGCTCTTCCGAGGACCCTTAGGTCACCTGAGTTTACATCCAACAGTCACTTGACTGATTTATCGGCGCATCAGGGCGGCAGACGCAGGCCCCTCCGCGGGCCCCCCCGGCCGAGGTCTTTAAGAGAGCAGCCTGGTTCCTGCGGCCCCGGGCCTAGCTCCTGGGGACCTACACCTTGCAGGCCCCCCGGTGGCCCGGGAGCCCACAGAGTGATAAGACCAGCCAGAAGTACGTTTCCCTTCGAGGCGTCCTCCCTTCCCTAACCCGGATCAATTCTTCTTAATGACTTTTCCAAATGGAAACTTCCCTGGACAGCCTCGTAGAAACGCGCAAGGGCTCAGCCAGCCGCAGGCTCTGCTCAGCCGGGCCGGGGGACCCTCAAAGGCAGTGCGGCAGGCTCTGGGCCCCCTCCACGGCCCCGGCCTCGGGAGAAGAGTGGGCCTTACCCTGGAGGCTCCCTGGCAGCCGACCAGGGAGAAACTAGCCGGCTCGCCTCGTGGCCTTTGGGTTCCCACAGGACAGGTTGCCCTCTGACCCCATCCGTGGCAGCCAGTGCAGGATTTTCTTTCTGGTTCCACGCATCGGGGACGGTTACATTTCCTGTTCCCACTCCCAGAGGCTGAGTGGGCCTTCCAGGTGGAGCTTGTGGGGTGCCCCTGGAGAGAGGTGCTGGCACCCCGGATTCGGTTCCTAGCGAGCTTAGTGTTTGGCTGTGCCGGGCCTTTCTGAGCCATTGTGTCCAGAGAGAGGCCGCTCTACTTCCTCCCCTCCCTGAAGTACTGCCTTCCCTTTGTGGGGTTATCTAGGATCCCAGAGCAGATGGATCAAAGGGCTAATCCCCAGGCCACTCCCGAGGGCCTGCTTCCTGACCCACGTGCCCTCAGCTGCGTTTATAACCTGCGTCTGGCTGGTGTCAGAGGAGTTGGCCAGATCTATGCGATATCCACACGGCTCTTTCTTACAAGCATTAAGTCTCCGAAACTGTGCGTATAGTTCAGTTCTGTCGGTGTCTGCAGCATGAACACTGCGGTCACCCAGCCTTCCCGATAGGCCTTGCCGGGCCTCGAGACAGAGGGTGCTGTTCAGTTCTGTCTAGCTTGTTTTCTTGCCCACCGCTGCCCCTTATTGCCTTGCCTTCCACTCTCCATCTTCTTCCTCTTCCAACCCAAGATAGGTAAGCTGCCCAGAAACACAAGTTTGAAGTGCAGTGCATTGACTTAGCACGCATAAAGCCATGTAAGCCTCTATACTGAAGTGCTGTTGTATGTATAAATACATAATAATACATGTTTTTTATGAATTATGCAGGACATAATATACTATGTTAAAGAGGCTTACCTTGAACCTACAGGGTAACACAGAAATCCTGACATCCATATTCTGGTAGGAAGGAGTTAGTTTTGTTTTATTTCATCCCATCTGTAGAGAATTTGCACAGATATGATTATCATTGTGACTTGTGTCCAGTCATAGGTTAGTGTAGGAAGTACATTTCAAGAACAACTCATTTCATTTTTAAGCAGTGTTTCCAGTTAGGGAAAGTGATATTTCAGGCATTCAAGTACTTTCAGTCTTGTTCTCATACTCTGGCACTGGAGCAGTTAACGCTGACGAAATATGAAAGGGAAAAAGACTCCATTGAAATATTTGTATAGAAAAAATAAGAATTAACCACAGAAATGTATTACTGTTGTCTTTTTTGAAACATTGTCCGAAACAAAGAATGTTGCCCTGTGTCCGGTGTCTGAGCAGCTGCAGGTTTTGTTTTTTTTTTCTTTTTTAATCCTTACAATGGAACAACAAAAAATTAGTATCAAACAGTATTGTGGGGTGACTTGTTCCGTTCGGGACCTGAATACATCAAGCTTATAGATGCTGAGAGGGAAAACTCAGACTCTAACCTGTTGTCTTCTTGTTTATAAACCAAAGTGATGTGGCTGAATTCCCCTAGTTGCAGTGGTTCTGACTGTCAGGGGTGAGGAGGCCGTCGGAGGAACTTTCCTCGGGCCGAGGGTGGGCTGCTGAGGCTGTGGTGTCTGTTGTGTCCACTCTGCTCTGTTCTGCAGAGCTTGCACCCCCTCTTGTCCCTCGGGGTCGTGGGGATGTTGGCGGGCTGCCGGTGGCCTGCCTTCCGCCCAGCCAGCCCTGTGGACTCTCAAGGTGGGGTCGTGTTTCACAGGTGTCTTCATCTCTAAGAGTGGAGTGTTTGGCTTTTCCTCTTTCTTTCCCCGTAAGTGACATCTAGGAAGGTTCTCAGACAAAAACCACTGTCGTCTCCCTGTGAGCTTAGTGTGCACGTCCATGTTTGGACCTCCTCCGTTCTCGCTCTGCACTCGTGGTTGTGGAAACTCGGTTTCGTTTATATGTATTTCACAGGGAAAATGGCCCAGTTGCATTTTTCTGGTTCTGACCTGGTGGGGGTGGGATTAGCGTGGAGGTCCTGGTGGCACATCCTGGTCCTCAGCTGTCACTCTGAGCTCTCTACTGACATCTGGTCCCTCACAACCCAAGTTGCCCATTAGGAGCAGGGGAGATGGGCCCCTAGTTCTGTTCACGGCTTCTTCCAGTGAGAGGCCTGGAAGGCCATTGTTCACCTTTCCTGTGTTTTGTTACAGGGGAAAAGCCTTTCAAATGTGAATTCGATGGCTGTGACAGGAAGTTTGCCAACAGCAGTGATCGGAAGAAACACTCCCACGTCCATACCAGCGACAAGCCCTACTACTGTAAGATCCGGGGCTGCGACAAGTCCTACACTCACCCCAGCTCCCTGCGGAAGCACATGAAGATACACTGCAAGTCGCCCCCTCCCTCCCCGGGAGCCCTCGGCTACTCCATGGGGACCCCAGGTGGCGACAGCCTGTCCCCCGTGCTGGACACAGCCAGGAGCCGCTCCAGCACGCTGTCCCCTCAGGTCACCAACCTCAACGAGTGGTATGTTTGCCAGGCCAGCGGGGCCCCTGGCCACCTCCACACGCCCTCCAGCAATGGGACCACCTCCGAGTCTGAAGACGAGGAAGTGTACGGGGCCCCTGAAGTCGTGCGGACGCTCCATTAGAACCACCACTGCGTGAGACAGGGAGCCGGGACCCTCTGACTGCACCCTAACCTGAGACAAACTGGCTCAGGCTCCCACCGGCTCCCGGTAGTCCTATTTATTCAGTATGAAACCCTATGGTGTTTGTACATTTGAGTAATTTAATTAAGATATTTGGTTGGGGTTTTGTTTTTCCTTTCCTCTTTCTCCTAAAAAGAAACAAAAACAAAAACAAAAATAAATAAATAAAACAGAAGAGGAGGAGGGGCGTAGCTCAGTGGTAGAGCACCTGCCCTGTGTGCATGAGGCCCTGGGCTCAGTTTCCGGCAGTAACAGCAAATAACAAACAGCCAAGCTGAGCTTGTCCGTTGCAGGGGGCCGCCTGGAGGCCGAGTCTGTCAAGGAAAATGAGGGAAGGGATTGAGACATGCACTGCCAGTCCAATGTATGTGCACACGCATGTGCGCACGCATGCCTATGTGTCCAGTATTAGGTCAGAGGTTAGCACAGCAGCCAGGCCTCTGTGTGTCCTGGAGTGCCTCCGGATGCCTCAGGCACTGGCATGAGGGCTGCTTTTTGAGCCTCTTGATTGTAAAACACACTTTCTGCACTGACAACAGATCCTGGACTGTGCCTGTGTCTAAAAGGTTTTGTATAACAAACAAACGAAACTTTGGTTTCTAATATCATTTTAATTCCTATGCTTTTCTTATTGCCCTCACCGTGACATGCTATTTTTATACAGGATTGTTCCTTCAGTGTCTTTCCTTGTGTGGTTTAAAAACAACGGAACAGCCAGCGGAGTGCGGCCACCTCCACACAGCTCCATAAGCCGTGCTACTGTGACTAGGTAGAGGAGCTGCTGAGACAGAAAACTGGGCAACTGATCTTTTATAAACTAGAAGGAATTCAAGTGCTTTCTTTTTCCTCTGCTGGGTCGTGTTGTTTTGATTTTAAATTGGGGATTTCAGATGCCTCCTTGCTGTGCCCAAACTTGAGGGCTGGTAGGAAGTTGTATTTTTGACCACAAGGTCTTCAGGACACCAGCACGCACAGGGAGGTCTGAGGTGTCGGGGTGCCATCCGGACCGTTTTCAAAGCTTAGGCCAGCTCCTCATTTGTGCTACTTTATCAACCTTTTTTTAAAAATGTCTTTGTTTTTAGTGAATTTTCCTTCATCTGTGACATGTCATCTGAAAATGACAGTGTAAAGTATATGATTTACACTATAAGAGGAGGAGTTGCTATACATGATAAAATTTTTAAAAGGTTTATAGTTGCCACCAAACACTGAATGTGTGACCTTTGCCAGAGCAGGATGCAAAGGGTCAAGGACCCAGGACAATAACTCTTAATTTATGTTCAGTTGGCACAACACATCTCCTGTGCAAACTGTAGCCCATCAAAAACATCACACATGTACTAAGGTACTCATTTATCCTCAGAGACCCTGAAGACACCCCCATTATTTGTAGAAATTTGTTTTGTGTGCTGTGAGTGGTTGATGTAGTCTTGTCATTGTTAATAACTTGTCTGTGAATAGTTTTATTTGTACAGTTTTTAATTAATTTATTTTTAGAGATCCTTTTTCTGGAAGAGTTCAAAGCACACCAAAGAAATATATTATACATTTTGGTGAAAGATTGTCATTTATGATCCATGGTTTATTTAAGAAAAAAGAAGGAAAGTGGGAAAATAGAAACTATATTTTTGAGCTTACTTGAATGGACAAGGTAACGTGAAACCTTGACGCTCTTCCTGCATGCCTTTGCCTCACGTTGGTGAGATTATGGGTAGTTTGTAGAGATAGTACGGTGCATGGTGCTGTTGGTGGATGCCCTTCAGTGTTGTCTTCAGATTCTTACAGTGAACAGGAAACATGCAAACCCTCCTTTACAGAGAGAAAGACCTACAACTTGAATATAAAATAATTCTACACTTAAAAAGTTTGACTTTTCCTGATATTCACTTTCTAAGTCCTTTCAAATAGAAAAGGTAAGGTATGAACTTGAGTGGGATAATTTATGTACTGTAAACTTGTTAGAACAAAATATTCCTGATGTATAATGAGTTGTTTTATTTATACAACTTTTTCAATGGTAGTTTGCACTATTCTTTATCATGCTACAGGTTTATTTATTATGAAACAAAGGAATATGTATTTTATGTATTTTGCCATGCATAGGTTAATGCCACAGATTTATTGGTTCCTGATACACTGAAAATGAAACCTTGAAATGTGTACCTCCGTTAGAAACAGGCAAGAATGATGGTGGGCAAATGTAATAAAGGCATTCTTCCTATGCACTGCTACTTTTACCCAGTGGCATCCTCTGTTCTTCTAAAGCAGAACAGCTGCAAAGTAGTGAACACTGACTACACTTCCCTCTAGCCTCCGCTCCCAAAGCAAGGGGGAGGGGCACGGCCTGGAGCAGTGGGTCTCAGCCTTCCTAACGCTGCAGCCCTCTCATACAACTTCCTCTCGTGGTGACCCGCAGCCATGTTATTTTGTTACTACCTCATAAGTGCCATTCTGCTGCTGTTAGGAGTTGTACATGTCTGTTTTCTAATGGTCTTAGGTGACCCCTGTGAAAAGGTCACTCGACAGTGCCCTCCTGCCAGGACGCGCAGGTTGAGAACCACCGATCTAGAAAGTCGAGAAATGTGTGTAAAAACAAATTCCTGCAGGTTGCAAGTACAGTTACACAAATCCCAGAGCCAGTTCCTTCCATTAAAGTTAGTGATGTGCTTGTGACTAGTCACTGAACATAAAGTGAGGGAAACCGAACTGCTGTAACATAAACTTGATTAGTGGGCAGCACAGCAGGTCATGGTGGGGGTGGAGCCAAGTTACGATTTTTGTTTATGTTGAGAGTGTAAATTAAGCTCAGGATTTTGGGGTAGGTATTTAACAATTCTTGCATGGTAACAAAATATTCCTGTTGCTCAGATCGGTGTGTTTGGCTATGCATGTTAGCAAGCCTAGCTGTTTACTTGTTTTTATGTTCGCCACTACAAAACGGATAAAAGGCAAGCATTTAAAAAACAATCACTAGTCACATCAATAAGCATTTCTCCAAAAGGTTATAGTGGCTTTTCAAAGTCAGGTCTGTTAAATGCAGTAAAGGTGAAACAGGTTGCCAAGAGTTGTTTTAAGCCTGATGACAATAACCAGCACACGAAGGAGAAAAACACTCGTAAATGAGGGCTTCAATCAATGGGAAAACTTACAGCTCTCTAATGAAGTTTCTTGTGAAAAGAAGGGTGACACAAAGCCACCAAGACATGAATCATTCATGGGAGATAGAAAAGATAAAAGATGTCTGACAATGAGCAGGAGCTTGTATAGAGTGTATAAAACACGTTTCCCCTTCTTATTTTCTGCTTTAAAACGCACAATCTCCCGCTCCCAGCATCCTCTGTCCAGTCTATAGAGTTAAAATTGACCACTCTCGTCCTGAGCCACTTCAAAGTAATTTAGTCCAGAACGGAAGGCTTGGCGCTTGGACACTCTTCATGGTGTGTTAAGATTTCTATGGCAATTGGCAAGCAAGAAGCTCCCGTCTGAATATGTCTCAGAGAAAGCCACTTATTGACACTAAGTTGGCCATCATCAAAGACTTCATCTTCCCTCTGCAAAAACGTGGCCTTTGCAAACACTAAATCGGCTACCTTTGTTTTCCAGGCCAGGAGGCTCTTCAAACACACGGTTCCTGCTCGTTTATATGTTTCTCCTATTCAAATGTTCTTTGGTGAAACGATGCTAGGAGAGCCTCGGGCACTTAGAGAGAGCTTCAGGGTGGGAATTGTGTTCTCCTGAGTTGGAGGTGGCCACACGAGTGCCCCGGGGCCTGAAGGCCTTGCAGCCGGACCTGCCTCCTAACGCAGGTGTCTCATCTTGTGGAAACTTCGGAAGACGTGTGCTTTTCTGAGTCATCTCCATCGGGGCTGGGACTCAAGGGATGCTGCCCCCACTGACCGCTTCCGGCGGTTTGGTTAGAGGAGGTTGAGAGGAGAGATGAATGCATTTCATCAGGTCATCGGGTGACCCAAGTGGTCACCTGAAATCACGGAAAACGAAAGTGATCGCAAGGCAAGCGGAACCGTGCGGGCTTGAGATCCAGCCTTCCAGTCCCGGCACTTCCTCCCTGCCATCTGCCAGCGCTTTGCCCAAACACCACCCGTGACCTCAGGAGCCTTCCAAGCCCGGCAGGGGAGAGCAGAATCACAGGGCGAGCACCCTGGGGTGGCCAGCACACTTCCCCCCCTCTTAGCGACCCCACCCCCACGCAGGGACACCCCAGGGCACCCACTCACGCGCCACGCAAGCAGGGAGCAGTTCAAAGGCGTGTTCTTTGATATTCAAACTAGTGTTTTTTATGGCATATCCACACAGAGCGCCAGAATTGCTATGGCAATGGGCAGGGCCAGGAGAGTCCAGGCAATCTGAGGCACTCGGTTAGGATACAGTTGCAGTGGCCCTTGCTTTCATGGCCAGGTAGTTTAGTCAGCTCTCACCTCCTCAGAAGTGCACGCGAAGATTATAAACCTAGGATATGCACGCTCATAGCGTCCGTGTGAGCTTTCTGCTTGATGAGGGTTTCCCGATAGAGCCTCCCGGCTTGAAAGAGAGGAGGAAGAATGAGGGAAGGGGAGAAAGCCCGGTGGGGGTGGGGCAGTGACGGCAGAGCAGGGAAAGGGGCCGGGGCGCCCGGTCCCCACTACCTCTTCCTTCTCTCCCCACCTACGCACTTTTATTTGCAGAGCAATTGTTCTTTGTTTATTTAATACAAGTACTGCGTGAATAGTGAAAAATAAACACGATGAAAAATAACCAAACAGATGATTCCTCGGAGTGAAAAAGCCCGGACTTAATAAAAGTGCGAACAGTCACCGCTCAATGAGGAACGCTTTGAAGTGGAACTTATTGTGAGAGGGATATTCCAGGGTTGCCCTAACGACGCCGCTGAATCGAGAGCGCCCGCCTTTGTCAGCGATTTGTTCTCCTTTGCCGGGGTGCCCGGAGAAATTACTTACATGGGCTGCCTTAACGTGCGGCCTGCAAATCAGTAACTTTGCAGCTCAGACTTGCAGACGCCACTGGGCCATCGACAAAAAGAAGTCGGGGGAGGGGGGCGCACCGACCTTTCAGGCCGGGGCTGGGGGCTCGCGGGCGCGTTGGGGGCGGCAGATAAGAAGTGGCCTTACAGCCAGGCCCCTCACCCGCGCTCCTCGGCGGCTCCGGCCCCTCCTGCGGCTCCCGGGCCCTCCAGCCAGGGGCGCTCTCGGGCGCGCGGGCCCAGCGCCCCACTTTCCCAGCAGCCCGGGCCATATTTAATAAGGGTCGTTTATCACTCGGGCGCTTTGAAGGATCGCCTCCAGCCCTGTGCCCATTAGAAAGGCGGAGGTGACATTTAAACTCCGTTTTCAAGGATCGCGGGGGGATTTCATTCAAAAGGCGACTCGTTTGTCTTAGGAGCTTGGAAACAACCCCCTTCTCCCTCCTTTTGACCACATGGCATAACTCAAAAACAATAGTTCAAAAGTGAAATGGCGGCGTGGTGTTCACTGGGAGACAGGCCCCCATCTAGCAGCAGAGAAAGGGTACTCCTGAAGACAATGCGCTTTTTGTGTCCGAGCCTGTCACGAGGATTGTGTTGTTTGCTTTGGAGGCTGCGCCTGTTATACTGGCCTGAAAGTGCTTGTGTTAAACAAGAGTTATGAGTCATCCAAAACAACAAACATTTTGATTTTCTTTGCCTAAAGGGCTTTCCCTGGCCATGGGCACCGTGAAAAAATAATGTCCTTGCTGAGAAAGGAGCACCAGCAGTTGCATTCCAAGCGGGCGCATTAAATATTGAACGGCACGGGGAAGGAGCTTGTCAGGCACCCGGCCTCAGAGTCTGTCTTCAACGTCGTCTTCGGTGGCTGCTGCACTATTTAAGATGGTATTAATTAAGGCAACTTCGGATGCTGTGGAGCCGCCGGCCCCTGGGCTGCCCTCCGTCAATGGGCCTGTGTCCCCACGCCCTGCTTTTGGGTTGGCTGAAATGTCACTTCTCATTTGCAGGCTGAAGAGAAGCGGCCATCCCACACGAAGGGCGGAATGCAGTCAGCAGCCTGGTTAAAAGAGTCTGAGGGATGGGGGGGGCACCCTGTGCCTTCCTGGGGCACAGGCCCAGGGTCTCCCGGGTTGGATACCCTCCTCTTTTTTAATCTTTCCTGTGTGAGGAAAATTAAAACACCAACCCTACAAAAATCCATTACCAGTATGGCTCCTACAAAAAAAAAGACAAAAGTCTGGCTCAAACAGGCATCTCTCTAAGACACCCTGATCCCTGTAGGTCCACGCACAGATCACAGATAAAGGCCTCGGGACCCCACTGCTCCAGCGGAGGAAACCGAGGCCGCGCTGTGGCTCTGGAGTCACTTCTGTCAGTATTCTCTGAGGAACGAGAGCTGAGGGAGGCCCTCAGTGAGACCAAACGCCCAAACGGAAGCCTCGTTTGTGTCCGCTGTCCCCACACCTATGCCCAAACGGAAATTTGTTTCAGCTTTTGGAAATTTCTAGACAGGAGAGAATAAAAAAAAAGGAAGTCGGGTGTGCTGATTCCCAGCACATTTGATTCCCAGCACTTGGGAGCAGAGGCAGGCAGATCTCTGAGTTGGGGGCCAGCCTGGTCTACAGAGCGAGTTCCAGGACAGCCATCCGGGATCACACAGAGGAATCCTGTCGTGGGGAGGCTATAAATGAACCCATGCCTCCTTAACTGGTTGACTATGGCTTCTCAGGGAGGAAAGACGGAGTTGGCTGGCTGCAGAGGCCATCCTGGTAGACCGACTTCGGGGCCTGAAGCCCCCCTCCGCCCTCTCAGGGACCGGAGTCCCAGCTGAGCACAAGGCCCCGGGCAGGGGAGGGACCCGTCGCGTTTGCTGTCCGGGCCTGAGCGACTTAGACTCTTGCTGCCCATCAGAGGGTGCAGGACTCCTAGCTATAGCTCTCCGCGCACCCCTTGACTTTTCCGTCTTGGATGGGCGCCGTCCGTGCACGCCCAGGGCTGTCCGGCCTGTCGGACAGGAAGGTCACTTTTCCCACCAAGAGCCATGAGGTAGAGAACAGGAGGAGCCTGTGCCCTTTCGTGTGTTCTGCGAAACGGGAGGGCGAGAGGAACCCCTCCCGCAAGCCCTGAAGCGTGGGCCTAAGGCGTTCCCACCCTGCGGTACCTGCGGGTAGCCTTAGGGCCAGGGTGTGACCGGTTGGGCCAGGGTGCCCAGCCAAGAGGTGCTTCTCCCATGAAACCTAGGG